GACTTGTCTTCAAAAGGCAGCTGGATCTGAAAGGCACTGAAAATTTACAGGTGTGTGAAACATGAACTAATTAATATTAAGATGCTTCATGGATGCCAGGTTATGTAAATGACTATTAATGAGAGAAATGGATAGAGATCTTTTATTTCTATTTAAGCTGTTAAAAGGGAAAAAATAAAGTTATTATTTTCTTATATTCTTTTGCTGCAGAAAGGATTGCATATGGTTGCACTTCACTTACAATAGGAAACCCAGGACAGTTTAATACTGGCCTACATGGCTAGAAGATGCTGTAATTCCCAGGTAATTGCCCTTTACTTGTGAGTTGTTAGAAGGGTTCTTGATCTTGAATTCACCAGTATGGGATGAGCAAAAGGAAAACTTGTGAGCTTGTGAGTGCCAGAAAGGAGCTGAACACATCAATTACTCACCCAGGTATTAGGAGCATTTCCAGGGTACTCACACAGGTTTGCCACATCCATCTTCTGATGGGCCCCATCAGGTTATGAAGCAGTGGAGAGGGCCACCGACTCTATTTCTACACAAGTTTGTATGTTCTCATGACAACTTCTTTGATGAGCTGTGGAGACCTCAGAGATTCTAGAGACAACACCGTGTTCTCGATATTCCCTGTGCAATCTTAGCTTGATTTGCACCCTGAGAAAAAGACATGCAACTGCTAAGATACTTCTAGCACAATTACTTAAGGTGTTCTAGGATTGGGCCATAGTATGGTGTGTTAGTGTGCTACTGGTGTACATATTAGTGGAAATATTTATTTTAAACCAAGTGCGGCAAATTAATACCAGTATTCATCAGATAATGGTGTTAGTGAAGAACTGGTCACAGTGCAATCATCTCCCACACTCCCACTGTCGAAGAAGGTTATGTTGTTGATGTTTCTTTTTTGTTTCAGTTGGGTATGTGCCTGGAGTCTAGGGACAGCCCATGCTTCCCTTCCCCTGCCTACTGATGCTCTGAAAAATAAAGGGCCATTCTTACTATTCATTTTCTTGGTTGACATGTTGAGACTGCATTGTTTCTAATTAAAAAAATGTTGAAAATGTTCCGGTCAGCAGCTTTCAATTAGAAACAATCAATACTTTCTTTCACGTGGAATTTTGAAATTTAATTCCATTTCAGAATGAAATTGATCTTGAAATTTCAAGTTTTCCTGTAAACTTGATGTTCTGGTTTTTGAATTTCTAGCTGATATAACACAACATCACTGGAGTCTGGCAGTAGATGGTACCATGGTTTCTGAAAGGGGTCTCAGAAAAAGAATAAAGCAGGAGAGTGCCTAAGAGGAAAAACTGTTCAGGTTAATAGCTGCAGTTTGTTTATGTAGTTCTGCATCTTCCCTCATACAGTTTGCAAATAACTTTTTCAGACCTCATTTGTTCTATTGACATAGCCTATTATGTTTGTATATAACAACAGTGTGACAAATAGAAGTATTGGTAATGGACTGATTTTTACTTCTGGGACCCAATCACCTGACTTGGTCAGAGTTACAAAAAGGTTAATAGCCCTGTTTCAAGGCTGCGGTCAATATTTTCTGGCTCCATTGGCTACTTCATGTTGCACCTTAGGCTGTTTTGGAAAACAAATATATAACCAAAAGTAACCATCACAGACTAATACAGCCAAATGATGATAAAAAAACTACACACAGACATACCTAGGATCGGGTTCAAGATGTCTAAGTCGTTAACTAACCTCTCAAGATTGTCTGAATAGATTATCACCTTTTCTCAGAACCATCCCTTTCACAATAACCTGTGTTTGCTGCTCTGGTCTGTTGTCCTTGGCAGTGTCTAGGTGGGTATATGTTATTTCTGTAAGCACATGAATACTGTCAGTAGCATTCTGGCTGTTCTCAAGAAATAGAGAGCCAGTATTCTTGTAGTAGATATATCTCTCTGGCAGCCTTGTGGAAAGAGGGTGGGTGCCGCTCTTGTCTCAGAATCCAAAGCATAGCTAGACATCTGTGGGGGTGCCTTATGGGTGTGGGTGCGTGTAAATTATTCCAAACAAAAAGTCAGTATACTTCCGCAGCCCACAGAAGGTGAAGTCCAAGGCCTTTGGAAGGCAAGGGAAAAAAGAAAAACAGAAAATAATGTGCTCTTCTCCTTTCTGAGAGGGCTTGGTCAGCCTAGCCTCTCAGGCTGTTTCCCCAGTCAGCAGCTCCTGCTTCCAGGTTCAGGTATGCCCGTGACCTCCGCAGAGCTGCAGATCAAGCTGAGCAACAGAGCTACCAGGCCAAAAACCTTCCTGCTGCCTTGCAGTGCACCAGGCTCCAAAGACTCCCAGCTTGCTTCTGCTCCAGCCTTGCCTGAGCCATGTCCCATATTGTCCTTGCCCTGCACAAGCTTCGTTCCAGCCTTGTCATTGTTAGCATGACAGGGGAGTTGCCACTTAGTTAATATGTCAAAGCTGAAAATTCTTTGTGTGTGTGTGCAGGACGGCCCTTTTTGGGGATTGGTAGGTCAATGGGGCTGACGATTTCTAGGTCATCACAGTCCCATGTGCAAGGCTAGCAGCAGGGAAGGCATGTGTCTTTTTAACCTTCTCCTCCTGTTACCTGCCATGAGGGGCTCCTGTTTACAGGCAGACTGGTTTCCCCCCTCCTCTTTGCCTCTCTCTGTTGCTATTTTCTCAAGTCCTAGCTCTGTGTCTGCCACCTGCAGAGCAAGTGGAGAGGATCTGGCAACATCAGAGAATGCAGGGACGGGGGGGGGGGGGTAGCATTAGACCCCACTTGGCTTAATGGTTCAAATCCTCTTAGAGTGAGACTTGGTGTGGATGGGAGGTAGACTTCAATTTAATGGAATTTTGATTGGCACCAGCATCCCACCAGGTGCAGTGGAGGACTGGGAGTGAAAGAAGTAATTTCTCTACTGTTCACATAGATGGCTATAAATCAACATTGTGAACATATATCTTTGTTTACATTTTTTAATTCTTTTTTTAGAATGACAATAATTAATTTCCCTTCAGTTCTGGGCACTTCAGAAACCTGTAGCCGATGGCGAATAAACAAGTAGCATTCCGAAAGAACAGGAACATCAGTGCAAATAGGAGCAAACTGATGTCAGAAATGCAGTGTGGTTCATAGCGTAGTGTGATTAATAATCTTAGTAGCAATCAGTTAGACGTTCAGGTGCACAGGCTATTAGCTATTAACTGGATATTGCACTCCCCTAGCTCTGTGTTACTCCCCTACACAACCCAGAGGAACACACCTTGTATAGTAAATATCTTTACTTCTGTTAAAGAGCAACACTAATGTGCAGGGTCCTGGTATGGAGAGACCTGTGCAGCGGTATGGAGAAACTGAAGAAATTGGGATTGCTCTTAAGAGGAAATAGATATGGAACTTAACCATCTAATGCTTAATTCTGACTGACAGCATAGACTGCTTTTTCATAGCACTTGTGGTTGTCAGGGTAGTGCTGTGCATGAACAGAGCGAGAGAGAAAGAGGGTAGAGTCTTTTTAATATTGGCTTCTTATGAATGCAATAGGGGAGAACTGTAGAAATTGCACAACAGTACTGAAGCAGTACAGATTTTTCTGCTCTGAAGCAAAAGGCAGCCTAGAGCCAGGCATTGTCAAATAGTAATAATTTTATTAAAATGGTCAAGTTTGCAGCTTTTTCAATGTAAATGGTATGGAATAGGCATCATTGTCCTCTTGACCTATCAGCAGAAATATGACTATCCTGCAGAAATGTTTCTTAGCCAGCTCTCTAGGGTCTTCCATGGAGAGCGAAAAGCGAGAGCAGGTTTCATTATAATACATCTCACCACCCTCTGCAGAACTTTAATTCTCTAGCCCTAGAGCCAGAGCTACTATGCTTGTTCTTTGGCACCTGGCGACCTACTTTGCATGGAGTTGCACTGATATAATCAATGCTCAACCTTGCATTTCATCATCGTGTCTCAGTGCCATCAGGTACTCCTGTAAAGTCACAATGAATGAATCACAATGCAACATCAAGTATCAGAGGGGTAGCTGTGTTAGTCTAAATCTGTAAAAAGCAACAGAGGGTCCTGTGGCACCTTTAAGACTAACAGAAGTATTGGGAGCATAAGCTTTTGTGGGTAAGAACCTCACTTCTTCAGATGCAAGTAATGGAAATCTCCAGAAGCAGGTAGGAGATTTCCTGCCTCTGGAGATTTCCATTACTTGCATCTGAAGAAGTGAGGTTCTTACCCACGAAAGCTTATGCTCCCAATACTTCTGTTAGTCTTAAAGGTGCCACAGGACCCTCTGTTGCTTAATGCAACATCAGTATCTCACGTTTCAATTACTTTGTGACTTTCTGCAACTTTCTCTGATACAGTATCTCCTGTCTATTCTTGTCCATTGGCATAGACAAGGAATGATATTGGTGAATCCCATGTGTTTGGCTAAGCCCTTCAGCTACTGCCTCGCGTGTATCAAGCACCATGGGGACTTCTCATGTGGTGAGGGTGCTGCATTTGCTGGTACTCTGATCAAATCCATCATCCTGACTTGTATGCAGGGCTTCAAAGAGTTGCAGGTGGCCTTAAAGCCATACACGAAATATCATTGCAGTAGAGTCAGAGGGCCAAATCAACCTTGGCTAATTCATGATGATGCAGATGGCGAGGCCTGCTCCGGCAAGACCTGCTGCACCCCAGCGTGAATTCACACTGGGGAGAATTGGCTGGGTTTCTATTGATGCCTTCCCTTGGGAGGCTTCTCTGTTGGAGGGGCTCCAAAGATGTCCATCTGGTACAGGGCTCAAATATTCTCTGAGTCCTATGGTCCTTCTGTATCAGGAAGGGGAAATATTGGCAGGGAAGGGAGGGGAAGATTACATTGATGCAGTCCATGCTGAGCCTTTTCTATGGCTCAAAGGATTCAGACTTCAGGGTGGTCAATCAAGCACCTTTTACAAGCATCAAATTCAGTTTACAATGGTAAAAAGAAAAAAATGTTTAATTTAAACACTTTTATCTTTATTTTCAGGATGAATAAGAGATACTTACAGAAAGCAACAAAAGGAAAACTGCTAATAATAATATTTGTTGTAACACTGTGGGGGAAATTAGCATCTGGGGCAAACCACCACAAAGGTAAGAAATTCTGCTCTATTTGAGTTTATTGTAGAACATGTAACCTCCATCAAAAGACTCAGAATTGTCCAGCTTATTGGCCCCGTGTTACTTTTTCTATGCTGATTTGCTTCTCAAGGTAGCTAGTCCACAAATCAGTGTTGAGAGAAGTTTTCAATGAGCAGGGATATTTTAATTTCTTGAGGATTACTCCCATGTGAATTTAAGTATTCTAATTCAATTGTTGTGAATGTCTGACTTTAGCAACTATTCTGTCATTTTGTTATCTAAGATGGTAAAGTTGAAAAATTGAAAAATTGACTAAACGCATAAAGAAGCTTCCTTCATAAAAATAGATACATCAGACAGAATGTGTAAGTGCTGTAGATGAGTTCTTGAAATTAACCTCATAAAAAACAATCTTCAGTACCATGTATTCTGCTATTGCATGCAAATTATCTGATAAGAGCAACTTCCTGGAGCGTGTGCACTGAACATTATTGTCTATTTCCTCAATAATAAGAATAATAAAAAGCTGGGGGAGTCTCCTGTTTTCCAGTTTCCCACTCTCCCTGTGCATGCTAGCACTTGGACACTGGTGTTGTAACAGCATTTCTAGTAACTTTGGCTATATCAGCCTCCTTTCCTTCTGGCAGTTCTAGCCTCTAATCTATATATAGATAAGGCTTGACAGTTCCTGGCAGCTTATAAATATCTCTTCTTTTTTATTCCTTTTTTATGGCTGGGGCCCCAATCCAAGGAACCACTTCCCTTTACTTATGAATTAATGTGAGACAACTTCCTGTTCTTTCCATAATCAAATTGAACTTCAGAAGCCAACTGCAGCCTTTGCAGTACAATATGATTTTGAAGTTCACATCTCCCCCTGCAGTGTCTGCACATTGGCAATTTGTCTTCTGATTCCAGTTCAGAATAAACTAGGAAGGCATGAGTAAACGAAGTGTGGGAGATGAGTGTCACTGAGAGTTATGAGTTAAGTAGTAGGGAGTGACATAATAAGGAAAATCATTACATTTCTATATTAAAGTTTATTTTTATAATGATTTTTGTGTGAAGAGGATTCTATGATAAAATATTACCTATATCTAGCAGTCAGGTTTTTGTTTTTTGTTTGCTCTGTGGATATATTTTCCTTCATAATTGATTGAATATTTTAGGATGCAAAGACATTTTCCACCCAATCTCTTTAGTTTTAAATGTAGTTGTGGCCAAAAGAAATTCTGACGTGGTTCAGCAAACCATTGAAGCTGGGGTCATGCCTTGTTGGAGCTATGTTCAAAACTTCATATGGTTGTGTTAGCTCCTGATTCAGCCAAAATCCAGTTTAAACTGTGCTGAAATGTGATTGTTACTGTTGCTGAAAGATCCTTGTATTAAGTGTCTGTCTTACTTATAAATCAGCTTTATTTTTTATAAAAAACTTTTTCAAAGACCACATTGGGAATTACTGCCGTGTAATTGAGAGGAAATGCTGGGCCACTAAGTTCAACTTTCCAGATATATGCCTACAAATGAGATCGTAACAAGGGCTATTTCTTTTCTGGGCCACACTTGGTATTCTGAATCCCAGACTTAGTGCAGAGAGAACTGGAAAAAAATTGATTTTGATGTTTTTAGTTTACAAATGTGTGTGTGTGGGGGAAAGCGAGGTTATTCTGTGTTCATGTAGCTTAACAAAAGCTTTCTTTTTTACAACTGCAACTTTACAGCAAATAATGTGAAGGAGAGGTTTTGAGCTTGTGGGGGAAAACTAAAAAGAAGAAACGTGACTGAAGTATTTCATCTAGCAAGCTGTCTACTTTGCATGAAGATTTTTTGGTTGTGGATTTAGTACACATGCAGAGAAGCTACATTGCATATATATGGGGAGATTTCAAAGGTACAAATAAGAATCAGGCACTCAAGTCACATTGACTTTCAGTAGAAATTGTGTTCCTAACTTCTCTTTGGGCCTTTGAAAATTGCCCCCGTGGTCTATACTTGGGAGGAGCTTAAGGAGTACCCTAGAAGGACTTCTTAGTTCTTGTGTTCTTATGATACCATTCACTTTAGAATACAGTTTCCAAATATGGATTAATACAATCGTTACTTCAGTCATGATTGCCTGTTGCATCATTAATCTTCATTTAAAGAAGTTCCTAATAACATATTGACATGCCAGACCTTAATTACTTTGAAAGAGCCTCTGCAGTCTATTAGATCAATAATCTACATTTTCAAAAAAAGTCTTTACATTTCTATTGCCTTAGCCATATTAAGGTCCAATTCTTAAACCCATTTATTTTTCTGAAAGCTACTGTAAAACAAAGAAAACATTAATCCACACAAGATGGTTTAAAAAATATTTTGCGGTAAACACTGAATACAGTAGAGTTGTGAACAGCTGATTCTGAGAACTCAACAGTTAGCCTTCTTGCACCTAAGAATTTAAGGGGTATGGCAGACATGAGAAACTCTAATTCAGTACCAAGACAAGGGCACAGGGCAGAGTATCCATGGCCAATTTCTTAGGCACAACTGCCAACCATGTTTCTTGAGCCTGCAGCAGCCAAGGTTAGAACCCAGAATTTCAGACTCCTACTGTTCAGCGCAAGATCAATGATGTTCTATGACCTGCACTCTGTCAAGATGTCCAAATTGACCTGGATTACTGAAATCTGTCTTGAAGATACTGCTGTACCAGTGTTGCTTCAGTTAATTATTACAGGGTACTTAGCACACTATCCCCTGAGTGAATAAGGTAGAACATGGAGTTATTCTGCTCCATGCATCAGACCTCAAGTACAAGACAGGCTCAATTGCAAAAACAAAAGCCACCCCAAACACCCCACCCCCCTTGTGTGCATCCATCAATTGTGTGAATTTAGGGATGACCCCAATATTGACACTCTTCTTATCTACAGACCACCTAACAGGAGTGGGTAGAGTAGCACTTCTGTTATGATCTTTCCTTTCAGAGGGCTGTGGTGCATAGTTTCATCTGGATAGGTCTTGCCTCTGGAGACCTTTACACTTAGTCCTATCCATAATGTTATTCAACATATTTGTAAGCCCCTATGGGTGATCATGATCTTTAGTGCCTGCTGTAGAAGACAACACCAAGCTCTGAATGCCTACTAACCTCACTGTGTTCAGAACTAAATGCAAAGCTCGCTTTTTGACTTAGCTTTCTCTCACGAAGCTTGTGCTCTCCCTCTCACACATTCATGTGCACACACACATGCTACCTATTGGGAAGAAAGCGCCTGCGTGCTGGAACCAGGAATATTATTTCTTTTTAAATACTAGGGAGACATTCATACTATGGGGATGAGTGCCTTATCAGAACCTCAACCCACAGGGGGCTGTGAATCAGTACACAGAATTAGATACCTTTTGTGCTGCAAGAGCTACACACGAGAAGGCAAGTAAATAATGGCGTATCAGTCTTAAAAGGACACTGGCAAGGTTACTAGCCTAAAAACTGATATACCTGGAAAGTAGCTCTAACAGGAAGATTTTTATCTAGAGAAATCCGTAAAGGTATTTTATTTTTAAACTGGTACTGATCCTCCTTCCCCTCAGCCCCTGCAGAACAAACAAATGTGCAAATATATAGTGTTCACTGATAGAAATGGCAGGCAGACATCAGTTCAGCATCAGTGGCTGCCTGCTATCTCTATCAGAAGGAACATGCACTGATGTGCTGAACATCAAATCACATCCCATTTTTAAGGTTTCAAGCAAGAGGAATGATCATCTTGGAAAAGTATATTGACATGCCCTTGTAGATACTCTTTTTTAGATAAGAGCACTGCTGAAGTACAACCATTTCTAAGCCTAAAATCTAGGCAGAGTCCCTAAAACTAGAATTTTTGGGGGGGTTTTGTTTATTTGTGCCATATCCTTAACATTACTCAAGTTTTTGTGTATGTTGATAAAATATAAATGTCCCAAAGTAATTTCACTAAAGAAATAAAGCATACTTTTGAGATCTGAGTGCAATCTAATGAACCACCAAGTACAAAAACCAAACTTTCTATTGCATTTTAAATTCTTGGACAAAATGAACAGTTATCCAAAAACATCACTAATAGTAAATGTCTCTGCTTGTCAGAATAAATTTGTTACTAAATCAAAAAATACTCAAGATAGATAATGAAGTAACGGAGTCTCTTTGGACTTACTAGATGAATCTGAAGTGTTCAATGACTGAGAGACTATTTTATTTGAAAAAAGTAAATGAAATTACTCAGCTCACGCCTATATATTGGATAAAATACAAACGTTTTAATTGATATTTTTAAAGTATAATCATGCTCCTGATTAACTTTTCCTGTTGTACTAAGATTTAAAGGGAACTTAAATCAGTGTGACAGGTTTCAGAGTGGTAGCTGTGTTAGTCTGAATCTGCAAAAAGAATGAGGAGTACTTGTGGCACCTTAGAGACTAACACATTTATTTGGACATAAGCGTTCGTGGGCTAAAACCCACTTCATCAGATGCATGCAGTGGAAAATACAGTAGGAAGATATATATACACAGAGAACATGAAAAAATGGGTGTTGCCATACCAGCTCTAATGAGACTAATCAATTAAGGTGGGATATTATCAGCAGGAGAAAAAAAAACTTTTGTAGTGATAATCAGGATGGCCCATTTCCAACAGTTGACAAGGTGTGAGTGACAGTAGCGAGAAAATTAGCATGGGGAAATAGTTTTACTTTGTGTAATGACCCATCCACTTCCAGTCTTTATTCAAGGCCAATTTAATGGTGTCCAGTTTGCAAATTAATTCTAATTCAGCAGTTTCTCATTGGAGTCTGTTTTTGAAATTTTTTTGTTGGAGTATTGCGACTTTTAGGTCTGTAATTGAGTGACCAGGGAGGTTGAAGTGTTCTCTGACTGGTTTTTGAATGTTATAATTCTTGACGTCTGATTTGTGTCCATTTATTCTTTTGCGTAGAGACTGTCCGGTTTGGACAATGTACATGGCAGAGGGGCATTGCTGGCACATGATG